CATCTTCTTATCGTATAGTTTTGTTTATCTTCTATAGCCATATTAGAATACAATGGTTTCAGGATATGCATCACCAGTGTCAGCTTTAGTTTAAGCCTTTTTAATGCCTATTTATTACTTTAACTTAGCCATAATGCACGCCTATCCTCTATCATCCATTACGGTTGTTGGTGCGAAAGAATTTGGTAGAGAGGAGGTTGAAAACGGAGAAGCATCAAGCCATCAAGTATGATTAGAGATGGAAAATTGAAAATATGATTAAGCAAGAAATGTTCTACAGTAATTGGTTAGGATTACAGTAGAGATCAGATGCAGTTATGCACTTATGCAGCAACAAAGAGGATGAGAACTGAAGTAAGATTTCGTTGTTGATGGCTTTTTTACTATTTCTTAAAGCAGTTTTTTAGTATAAAAATTTTAATTTTTAAACTAAAAAACTGTTTTAAGAAGCAATAAGAAAGATATCTCAAACGAAGCCTGAGGCTTTGTTCAGACTTCGTTTGGGACAACTTCTTTATTTCTTTCAAAAACGTCTTTTTAGTACAAAATTTTTTAATTCAAGAAATTTTTGTATTAAAAAGTTGTTTTAAAAAGCAATAAAAAAACTGTCTCAAACGAGTTTAAGTTGCTGATAAAGTTGAGTTGAAAGATGCAACCTGCCGTTAATGAGGTCTATGGTTTTATTTGATTATCAGGATTGCATAACGCAGTTATGATGTTCAAATTTTTGGTGAGATGGATAGAATTTGCTGCAAGAAATTGACCTTTTGTTCTTCTACTGTAGCTAAGAATTTTGTATTCTCCTCTCTTCCTGATCTGGAGTTGTGCAAATTTGTATGGTTTATGAACCATTCGATCAGATAATCCACTTTTATGTGGAAAGCTAATTTTTAAATGGTTTTAAAACTGCTTGCAATCTGAGATTTGAGAAATTATTTTGTGTGGATGCTAGACATAGTTATATATCTGGATGACGTGGTATCAAACAGTACTGAGTCACAGTATCGAGCAGTACCGAACCTCAGTATAGTAAAAGAATGATGTGGCATATTCTTATTGGCCTTTGGATGGGATTCCGCGTCTGGCAGAATAATTTTTTCTGAGATTCATAGGTTTAAACGTTCCTACTAATTCCCAAATGTTTTTGAAGTGTCTTACTCTACAGCTTCTCAAAATATCTTGTTGGATGGTTCTTATTTCCTTTTGAAGCCACTTATTTACAAGTGCTGAAAAGCAGCGAATTATTTCATCACAGTTTCTTAATTATGAAGTAATACTTGCTTTCAGTTTAGGGTTATTGTTTGTTCTATTTGAAAAGTAAGGAATAATAAGCTTCATAATTGATAAGTTCTCAAAATATATACTTGATTAACATGAATTTTGAGAGTATTTTAAAATTTCGGACAAAATTTAAGATTGAATAAACTTATAATCGAATTGAATATCTTATTGAGATGAATTCATTAACATCATAAATGATTTGATCTAAGTTTAGATGAACTCAAATTAAGCATTTGACATGTATTTGAAAATTTAAAAGACCAAATGTTCTTTAATGACCACCATTAGCAATCATTGAATCTAACACGGGACTTCAACATCGTTTAATTATTAATATCCAACACTAATTGAACTTCAAATGTTCGCATGTGAATACCAAACTTCTGTAATCCTTAGAACTAGAATCAAATATTTATTTTTAATTGTGTAATCCCGTCTTCTACAATTGTGGAGAAGAGTAGAATTTTGTATTTTCAATTATATAGTAGATTATTGCAATTGAGTTAGGTTATATAATTTTTTCTCCAAATTAGGATTTATATACGTGCATATTGACTCTTTGCACAAAGCTAAGATATTAAACACTTGATCTATCGTCATAATTTCTTTTAACATGTAATAGCTTGATGTCATTGAGGGGAAATACCGAAATAGTTCAAATATGTTATAAATATTTTTTTTCTGTGGCTAACAATCAATCTCTCAATTAAGAACAATATAATAAAAATAGTGAATGTCATCCAAGGCTCACTTTGGAGGTTCGTATATATAGGATTGTAGAATTTTAAGTTCAAATCCTTAAAACTCTTAAATGAGACTAGACAGCAAAGAGCACATATTTCAAGAATCTTCAATCCTACCTGATATATATTTCTAGCATCATATTGCAGTGCGGTTTAAGTTGCCTATAATTGATTCATATGATAAACTGCTAATCTCCATGAGCATATTGATCTGTATGTAACCATCACACACATTCAACAAGCTTCTTGTAACTCTCAAGTGATGAGCTCTCATATAATTCCACTCTCTCAGATATAACTATTCAAACTTTTGACAACCTAGCTAAGCTTTTCATCAAACAATTTATTTCCCATTGGAAGATTATCAAAAACTTTTCCCATGTTTTTGGAATTCATCAAAATGAGGGAGAGATCATTTAGAAGTAATTTCAAATATTCTCTTTCAAAACAAGTAAAGTTTTATAAGTAGATTCAGAGTTATTATGAGCAGTTTTTCCTTGAGGTCTTTGCTTTAGACTTTTCTACTCCTGATTAATGAGAGAGATAATTCCCTCCTACTTTGATCTCATTCATTAACTAGAAGAATAAACAACAATTAATGAGACCATCAATATTGTAACAATATAATAATTATTAAAATAAATTTAAAACAATAATCTAAATATCTGTTTGAATTGGTGCGTTGTAGCGCTATGCATGTGAGTGCTGGGACAAAAAAAAGGAGAGTTTATTTATGCTTTAATTTGACAAGTTTATTTATATTTATTGTTAAATAAATTTGGTGCCATTTGAGTTCTGAAATGAGTTTATTTATGTTTTAATTATTGCAATGCAATGAATTATATGCTTTATTATTTAAAATGAGAAGTTCTTAGGAAGTTTAATGTAAAAGGAGCAATTTATATTTTGGTTCTTATAAGGGATGTTCTGGTTACAAAAGGTCATGTTATTGAGATGTAAACACTTTTTTTTTTGTGTGATGACATTGGGAGTTATAAGAAGAAATATGATAAATTTTCAAAATTATATCTTTGAATTTGCTTGTCGCAAGTCAACGCGATAGAATCTGCTGCATCTATGGGTCTTGTCAAATTGGGTTATGACATTATGTGACTCATATGCTCGTTCCCAGTGCAATTCCGGCTAATAACACATATCTAGTGCTAGGAAACATATTATCTACGTATACCTCGTCCACCCTTGACTGACCAAAATAACTTTAGTCAGTATAAACCCAATTATTTCTTATAAAGGCTATTCAATAAAAATTAAGGTCGAATTGCACAAACTCTTGGACCCACTTAATCCTAGTACCTTGATTTGGCTCCCTCATGGCTCATTGAACTCTAATGAGCCTTAAGGTGGCTTAGCTCCTTTGAGTTGGGCTAGCTGTGAATTGGTCTAAAAAATCATATATCCCTACTTGAGCTTCAATTTGGCTAATCCTTGAGCCCAATTAACTCCTAACCTATGAAATTGATCCGAACCACTCAAATTATTCATATAGCTTCTTTTTTTCATAACATTTAGCTAATTAAGACAAACTCTCACATACATCACATACATAAACTTTGAATCCAAAACTTTTTAGTTGATAGCCAAAACTATCAAATATGAGCTGTGTTTATATGGTTGCTTTCGAATGTGTCCAAAATTAAACTTTGATGTGATATTGATTAATGTAATCATTAAACTTTTTTGGGAGTTTTTTTGGCCCGTGAACTATATAGGACTCGTTAATGAACCAAACCAACACTTAATAATCCAAACCCTCAGATCTCGACATTGTCGTCTTCTTCGTCGCCCTCGCGATCTCGATGTCTCTTTGTCTTGACAATTATATTCTTTCATCTCGACCTTATCATCGCCGTATCTCCTATCGAACTTTATGTACTTCTGTTATCTCCACTTGTTCGTTTCCCCTCAACTTCTTATCATGCTCACCTGTTTTCCTTTCTGAAATTTATAAGGTGAATTTATTATTATTATTTATTGAGGTATGTTTTCAACCTCTATAAGGTGAATTTTTTTTTATAAGGTGAATTTATTACTTCTATTATTCATAGGTTCTAGGGTTAGGGTTATCATGAAGAGCAACACATAATAAAGCCTGATTTTACGTGCTACTAGCCTACTAGTGTTGTCATGCAAGTTGGGTAGCCATTTAGAATCCTAGATTTTACACATCTTATATTGGTCTGTTGGTTGGGAGCTTTAGCTACCAATCAAGAGGTCTTGGGTTCTAGCATTGCATATGTGATGTGTGTGTGTTTGCCTTAATTGACCTAAATGTATAAAAAATAAAAGGAATCTAGATTTTTGTTTTTGGAGCTATTTGGTAATCAAAATTAGGGCCTACTTGGATGCAATTAGGATTTAATTTAATTAGAATTTCTTACATCCACTAAATCAGAATTTATTAAATCTTGAGTGTTAAGTCCTAAAAATTATTTAGTAAGAATTATGTAAATTCTTATAAATTCTATGAAACTATTTAGCAATGTTATTGAGGATTTAAAATAGTTAACTTATAAGACATTTATATTTTAAATGTGAGTCCTTTGTTAATTTTAATTAATATTAATAAACTCTAATTATGAATAATATAATTAAAAGCTAATTTAAATATTTAATAATTTAGTTAATGACTTAATTACTAATTATAATATTAATTATCAATTTATTTATTTAGGTTTTATTTTACTAAATATTTTAATATTAATTCAATGATAATTATACAACTAATTATGTAATTATTATTTGAAACAATTAATTATTTTGTTAATTTTTTAAGAATTATGTTAATAATTTTAAATTATTAATTATACTAATAATTGTATAATTAATCAGTAAAATATTCTATTATTAACTAATCATTTAATTAATATTTACATCTAATGATCTAATTAACTATTTATATTTCAAATTATTTAATTAATTATTTTATAGTATTTCTCTCTACGCTTACCTTGATAGGTTTGCTTGTCCTTTCTCCATTTTTTTTCTTGCTGTCGCGCGAAGTAGTTCGGATAGAGTGGCATTGAGTTTCTCCGTCTCCGACGACGCTGCTGTTCTGTTTCTCGTGAAGTAGAGTTCTGAAAGAGCCTCTTTGAGGCTTCTTCGCCTCAGAAGACGACGTTGTTGCTGCGTTGCTGTCAGATCGGAAATTGCGACGGGAGCTCACCGCGAAGGTAACGATATATCTCCCCTTTCTCGCGCTTTTAGGGCTAAATCCGCCAAAAAATCGGATTTTCGAAATATGGGATTTAGGGCAAAATTGAGGAAAACGCCGTGAAGTGGGGCATAGACTTACGGTGAGATTTAATTTTGCGTTTTTTGCATTTGGCAGGATTTAGCTCAAATCTTGTCTAAATCCGGCATCTAAACAGGCCTTTCAGGATAAAATGTTTTTTTTTTTCCTAGCAGTTTGTACTTTAGTTGTATTTTAATGCTTTAATATGTTTGGCTTGTGTAGAAACATTCATATATTTTTTTATACTTTTTTTAAATTTAAATTTAAATTCCATCTCATAACTCTATGTAGAAATATGACATATTATTGGTTAAGGCAAATTAATAGATTTCACACTTTCCTAAAATTCGAGTTGGCTAGAAATGTTATCAATTTGATTAAGAATCATGTTTTGGAGCCAATCTAGTTCAACTCGAAATCTTTTCAATTTTCAATTTTGAATTGAGTTTGAGCTAAGGAAAAGTCAATTATTTCAAGTTTGTGTTGAGTTGGTTTGCTCGAGTTTAACGTGGTAGCGGCCCAACCAGTTATCATGTTTCACTTCTAGGGTTTGCTAATTTTGAAGTTGAAGTAGGATTCAGAGAAACTTTGGTTGGTTGATGGGTAGTTTTTTATATTTTCTGCTGGTTTTTTATGATTTGTCAAGAAACATGCATGTGCTAGAAATTCCTTCTTTACTAATTCTAGAAGCATGAGTTGGAGGCTTGCTTTTCTTTACATCTGCAAATTGAGCTTAGGTTAGGCTTTGTTTGACTACTTCTTATACTTTAGTTTGTTATTTGATGGAACAAGATGGAAATGCATCTTACTTCTGTTTGAAACTGTAGTTCTCAAGTTACAATTTAGTGATGAATTATTCATTGAGAGAAATTCATTTGTTGCAGAATGAAAACCGTACTATGCACCTTGATGTCGATCTTTGTTATGATTAGTGATGTGGCCTACTATTTAATGGATGCCTAGAGCCTTCAACATCTTTGATATCTGTATTTCAGTTACATGTGGAACCATATAAATTATTCATTGCGTGAGGTTTGAAGTCTATTTTCTTATGCAGCGTTAACGATGGAATTCTCTAATAGTAAACTTCTAAGCTGTAATGTGAATACTATTGTCTGTAAAATCTTTATCTTGTTGCTTGCCATTTTTCTATTGAGGACATTATTCCTATCTCCTCTTCCTGGCTTTCATTGGTTTCAACAGAAGAGGGTATACTGGATACCCGACAACAGTTCTTCTGTCCTGCAGCATGAAATTAGAAGAGACAAGTTTTTGGAGGTCCCTCAGATTATCTGGGGACTAAACAACCAGAAGATAGCATTTGCAAGGGCCTGCTTAACTGCAAGATTGTTGAACAGGACATTGCTGATGCCTAGCTTGAGTGCTTCTTTAATCTACAAAGAGATTGATTTATTGAAGCCCATTTCTTTTGATAAAGTTTTCAACTTTGAAAGGTTCAACTCTCTCTGTAATGGGTTTGTCCGCCTGGGTCGCTATTCTGATCTTCACAATGAAACCAAGCCATTTGAGCTCCGAAAAGGTAGCGGTCGCAAGTGGACTAAAGAGAGAGATTTGAATCAATTATATCAGTGCAAGGAAGGCGCAATAGATAAGTTTGAGGTGATTAAGGTTGATGGAAAACATCCTTTTCTTTGGCATGATCATTGGCCTATTATGAACTATGCGAGGATCTTTGAGTGCTTGACATTGGTAGATGAGATAGAAGCTGATGTTTCAGCTGTTATAGCTAGGATCAAAGCTGTAGGTGCTGAAGGTAGAAGTAAAGGCAGTGATTTTGGTAAGAATCCTATCATGCCATTTTCTTCTCAAAATTATGTTACCTACATGGCTATTCACATGAGAATAGAAAAAGACTGGATGTTACACTGTAAGAACCTTGAGCAGAGATCTAATATACACCAAATATGTAGCAGTAAAAAGGAGATAATGGAGCGGGTTGCTAATATTACAAATCAAACTTTTCCAATTGTTGTTTATCTTGCTGTTGCAGACAGCCTCTTAGAAGATGATTCAATAGTGAGTGGTTGGAGAGAAGGGCTACTTCCTTTTGAGAAGAAGAGGTTAGGAGTTTGGAATATATATAGTAAGCATCCTTACCTCGTACAATCTGCAATTGACTATGAGGTTTGCTTGAGAGCTGAAGTCTTTGTTGGCAACAGCTTCTCCACATTCTCTAGTCTTATAGTGCTCCATAGGACACAGATTTTACTTAAAATGGGAGTTAGAAGCATATGTGGGGATTCAAATTTCTCTTCATATGCTTACAACATCTTAGGAGATTTCGGTGCCCCGAAGAAGTGGATGACTGATATGTCAGCTTCAAGCCTTCAAACCATCAGCTATGGGACAAATTACGTCTCTTGCCATGTTTGAGCATTTATGTCAATATTTTGGAAACTATGGAGGGAAAACGGAAACAGCTGAGTTTTCTTCAGAAAAAGGAGAGGTATTCTACACAAAGATGTAGCAATATTATTCTTTTGATACTGTAAAGTAGGGGAGAAAGATTTACTCAACAAAATGGATAAGGGTGTAAATTCATAATGTTTGCAAGGCGCCATACCTCTTTAAACGGTTTCTGTGATTTAATAGTTCTGTGGCATTTTTTCAAAGCTTCTTTTTGATTTCAAGAACAAAGTTGATGCTATTTGTTACCGAATTGATCCAGAATTTTTCATTTGCTCTTATTTATGATGACTCATTTTGATATGTACAGAATATGAAGTTTTAGATGGTACATGTTAGGAAACACTTGAAGATTTTAAATAAATCCTTCAATTTCAGAAAAAAATAGCGAGAAAATTCTTCCAAAGTCCACTGAAAACAGGAAAAACGATAGTTTTTATTGTAATAGTCAAATATACTGCAGGAAAATACCAAGATACAATTGATCCTCAATTTGAGAGGAGTATCTATCTCTCCAAAATCTCTAGACATCACTAGAGCCCAAAAAAATCTGAACCGAAGAGATCTCAAATTTCAGCCAAATTCAAGATGTCCTAATCCTAGAAAAACAAACTATTTAATGCATACAATCCAAAAGGAAATCAAATTTTCCTCCTAAATTTTTCCTAAAACCTTCCTAATCCACTCCTTTGAACTGGGCGGTTGGTGCGGTACAAGGGGGCGGAGGTGTTCCGCCTCTATTTCGCGCACAAGACCGGCTGGACCGGTCTAACAGTACACTTGTTATTTGAAGTGAAGATTTGAATGTGAATATAATTGCCTATGATCTACGTATTACTTTTAAACTGAATAACATTGCTTTTGCTTGTTAGTTGACATATTTATCTTTTTCTTGGAAGGTCCTATGTATCCTTATGATTTATTTTAGCAGTCTTCCTGATCCAAGCTATGCCATTTTCTATTGACTTGTCATAATCTCTTTATACGTTGATTCGAGTTGAAAGTGATTTTCTACTTTGGCAATTTAAGTACAGAGAACAAGTGGTTATGTTTATAAGAAAAAAGCTGGATGTTGAATATGGAAAACATCCTATCAAGAAATACATTGAATATGGCACTAAAAAAACATCTAGTTTTGGAATATATTTACTTTTCATATTAACATGAAATTAAAGTTGTGGCTTTCTATTACTGAGATTGCATCCAATTTGTGTTTGTCATTGCTTATTGCTCTTTTTTTATTTGTATTTTGCATTTTGCATTCAGTAGTTTTTTGTAAAATCTGGCTGGGGCTTATAATAATTTTAATTATGAAGAAAGCTTTAACTTCACAAGAAAGCATTAATGCTAAGAAACAGTAAGTAGAAGAAAGGTATAGTTGTTGCAGAAAGCTTTCTCATTTCATTTAATTTATTTCAATACATACTAAAGGTGTTTCAGTACATGATATATATAGGAACGTATGTATTCCTTTTTACATGTGTCAGGTTATGATTCTTTAGGTTTGTTATATCCAACGGTTGAGGTTTATTAAATGTTTCCCGTGCACTGTACTGGCAGCGGCTTTGGCAAAGAGGTAGTGACTACAGCTTTACTCTGTGTTTGTTTATTTGGCACTTTTACTCCCCCGTAATCTAATGGTGCTGATTGAACTTTTAGATTGGCTCTTAGAGTGTGAAATCTTCTGGTTGGGGTTGAGAGAGGTTTAGTGAGTATGTTAGCCTTTGGGTCTGTGGTGCTAATTGGTATGACTTGAATTATGTTGGTCTGTATATTGTCTTGGATGAGTGGTGATCGATTTCAATGTGTTTCATTTTTGCGTGGAATATTGAATTATTAGCCAACACTATCGCCAAGATGTTGTCACAATGAAGAGGTGTAGGTTGATTGAGATGTATGTTGAAGTCATGAAGAAGACGTCTAAGCCATTTAATATTGATTATAGCTGCTGCCAATGCTTTATATCTGCCTCTATGGAGGATCTAGCTACAATGGTTTGTTTCTTTACTATCCATGAGATAAGAGTATTGCCCAAGAATGAAAATTACCCCATGGTGAGCGTCTAGTTGCCTGGTCTCTTGCCCAATTTGCATCTGAGAAGGAGTTGAGGTGGAGCGGTCCATGGGAAATAGGTAGGCCGTAGTTTATTGTTCCTTTGAGATATTTGACTAGGTGTTTGAGTTAATGGTAATGTTGTGGTTGTGGATCATGCATATTTTGGCAAAGGAGGTTGACGATGTAGGCTATGTCGGGATGGGTGATGGTTAGGTACTAAAGAGATCCTAGCAGTTGGCGAAATCTATGGGGATTGGATAGTATGGGATCCATTTGGAGGAAAATGGGTAATTTTGTGCAGTTGGGTTTGCAAGAGGTTTGCATGTTAGAAGGTTGGCTTGGTTGAGAATGGAGGTGGTGTATTGGTGTTGAGATAGAAATTAGAAAGTATGACTGAGGAAGGTTCTGAATTTGTATGCCAAGGAAATTTTGAATGGTTCTAAGATGTTTCATGATGAAGCGTTGATTGTCTTAATGAGATTTGAAATTGTGGTTGGGTCATTTTCGATGAGAAGAATATCACTAGGATTCATTATCAGATCTTCAAAATTGTGGTTTCGCCACCAAATGGCACCACACCAATGGTTTCGTTGCTATTGGCACCGTAAGTAAATGGTTATGACTGGTATCCTCTGACCGGATGGTTTTGTTGTCAAATGTCATTATTATATTACGATCATCAGAGATCGTATGTTCTTCAATGGGTTCAAATCCTTAAGTAATTAATCCATAGGATATAATCGATAGGGCACAATGCCCTCGGTTAGCTAAGGTGGATTCAAATTTGCCCCTTAGACAAATATTCACCACAGGTCTACAAGGTACCTTTATACGAAGCAACCCATTGTTGCCAACAATGATCCTTCTATCAGGTTGGGTTGACTACCTCTTCCGACTAAGTAAACTAGGGATCATGATGACCCAGGATGACGGGGTCTATCATCACTCCCCCCACCATCTACTTTAAGTGCAAGATAATGAAATTTTTAATTTTAAATATCAAATTTTTAAACACCTAAATTATGTTACTACTATACGCTAGATACTCTATATATGTTTGACGATTAGCCTTAAATCTAAAGTTCTTGCTCGCTATCGGGAGAGGTAGTTAACTATAGGGGCATGCACCTAGAGGAAATATGAATTCAGATCAAAAAGCCCTCGCAAAATGAGGGTGAAATCTCTAGGTAGTGTTTTATTTAAAATCCACTATTTGACTATTAGCCTTAATCTAAAGTTCTTGCTCGCTATCGGGAGGGGTAATTAACTATAGGGGCATGCACCTATAAGAAACCTGAATTCAGTTCAAAAAACCCTCGTAAAATGAGGGCGAAATCTCTAGGTAGGTAGTGTTTTATTTAAAATCAAATATGTCTTTTGAAAATTTATCTCAGAACTTAAATGTTAAAACTTTGCTCGATGACCTAAAAGAAAGAAATGATCCACGAAGAGGTCAGGTCGTGAATTTTCGGAGCCTCACAAATATTAATATAAATTATACTTAAATATTTTAAAAATCTCTCTTATTGAATCAAATATTTTAAAAATTCTTATATTGTTTTCTCATAGATTTAAATTTGTCATTAATTTTATGTTTATTTTATCTTATACAAAATATTTAAAATAAATTCTTTTTTTTTAATTTGAGAAAATTCTCATAAGCTTCATATAATATAATTTAATTCCCTCGATGTCATTCAGACTTCAAGTTTTGGACGCTAAGATTGTCTAACAATTTTATTCTTATTATTTTATAAAATAATTTTTAATGCAAAATTTTTTGAATCAAAATTTTTTGTATTAGAAAATTAATTTATAAAATAGTAGGAAACTTTTTTCAAACGAAACCTTATTGTCAAGCATTGAAGCTATGAATTTTTGAGTGGACAGACACGTTTGATAGCTTGAGCTTTTCTTAGTAGCTAAGATCCATAATGGCTCATTAAATTGTTTAAATTTTGAAGCCATGTTTAAGATATTACGATTTATTTTAATTTATTGTGCACGTACGAAGCAAATTTATTGCATTCAAGAATGAGTTGAGAGGTTTCTGGAGTTTAAAATTAATGTTAATTCTATTTGTCTTTAATAAAGATTAAGATTTTATTTGAGACGATTTTTTCAATGTTTTAAAAAATAACTAAAAAATTATTTTAAAAAAAAATTAAGAAAATCATTCCAAATAAAGTTAAAATCTATTGTTTATAAAAAAATTAAAAATAAAAAAAGCATGATTGTGAGATAATTGTCAGGTGGCAATCGATTGTCAACATAAAATATTTGGAGTTGGATAGGTGTGGAATGATTAGGTTTGAGCTTAACTCGTTCATGGGCTTATGAGATAAGCTTAGCATGCCCTCGTGCTATTTGCAAAACAAGTGAGATAAACACAAACTCGTCTAAACCATCCAAGAAATTTCCGTATCGCTTCCTAAAGATAATGCATCAAATGATGAGAGATTATTGTGCGCGTACACCAAATAGGTATTATAGCAGCTATGTTTTGACTGCGCTTTTACTGTTGACAACCGAACGGTTCTCTCTGTTTGAAATCCGCACACAATAAAAAGCCTCAAATGAGGTATGAATTTGTTATCTAAACAATTCCAAAACCCCATACCAACGGTAACTATACACGGAGCTGGCTTCATTTGAAATAATTTTCCTAATATTTTTTAAACAGTTCTATAGTCTTGCAAGCAAAAAATAATAATATCCAAAAACTATTCCAAACAAAGCCAAAATAAGAAATTATAAAATTCACAATTCCTTTAAAAATAAAAAAGCTACTACTGTTCCACAGCAATTCGTAGCTCAGCTTAAAAAGATAAAGGTAATGCCTGATAATTGTTGAGCAGCAGAAAATGAGGCAACAAGTCTCATGCAATGCAAGAACTTAAACTCTATGCATGGTTCCATAAACATCCACAGAAAGAACCATCAAAACACAGAAAAACAACCATTTCAAAAAATTTGGGAGGTTTTTGAGATCTTCCGGTGTCATTAAATAAACTAAAATTATGATCACAGAGCCATTTAGTCATGATACATCCAGTCTATACAACAAGACGGTCCTGCTTCAAAGCACCCTCTAAAGCTAGATCAACATTCCATTACAAATTTAACTTTCTATTGCAATTCACAACTAGACTTACTGGCACTAAATGCTTTCAAGTCTCCCAAGCCCAAATTCCTAACATCTCTCTCTCTCCCACCCCCTATCTCTCTCACTCTCGACTGTAGACTAAATTCGTAAGATTTAAGCTTTACCCAAAAGCTTTCATTGTGTATCATATTGAATGTTGCATAAGCTTTAAGGCACACTAATAAACAATCTCCTACAAAAGACTCAGTTTGCAACATACATAACAGGCTTTCGAGGGGGTCATAAACTCCTGTAGTCCATGACAGTCACTTCATCTTCGGGGGCATCAAGGTCCTGGTAGCTGCAAGAAGAAAGATATCATTGCATCAATTGTATGAATGAATGTTTTCAGAAACAAAATGAAAAAAACATTAAAAACAAGCTTCAAATTTAGATGAAACTACCTTTAATATGAATCCAGAAAGAAGTATATACAAGATTTCAATATATATAAAGTGAACGAATAAGAAAATGCTCTTTAGTAGAAGCAGCACTACAATAAATACTGGTATATTTAATCTTATATATTATATGTTTGCATGTGTTACCATGGGATGTTCGAGCTGTTAATATCACCATAACAAAGAAACAAGCTCACCTTCTCATGCGACGAGGATCATGTCGAAATGCTGGAGGAATACCCAGAATTGGGCCAGGAGGCCCCATCATTGTTGGACCAGACCTTCCTTTTCTACCTCGAGGGCCACCATTTGCTTCAAGAGAAGATGGCCCACCCTGTTCTCTCATCATTCTCATGGCGACCTCGGGTGGAGCAGGAACAAAAGGTCCCAGAGGTCTAAAAAAAACTAATAGTTAATCACTCTAGTTCACTGATGATAGAAACTACTAAAGAGAACTCAAAAACCCTTGACCTACCCGGCACCTGGTACTGGCATCAAAACTTGTGGTGGAAGTGGTATATCAGACGGGAAGGGAGAAGCCCCATGCAAACCTTGTCCACCATATGCATCATGCAGCTGATCATCCCCTCCAGATCCATCACGAGAAGGAGAATTCTCACTCCGGTCAATCCTCTCATCATCAGGCTGACCACCCCTGTTGTTGTCTCTGCCACCACCACGTTCATCTCTCAGCCGACCATCTAAAACTGACCTTCTTCTTGGCGCCTTGTCCTTCTGAAAGAAAATAATTACCATGGAAATAAGCAAAAGTTAAAGAAAAGCTGTATCCACAAACTATCTATGAACGTGTGTGCCTGTATATATATACTTCATGACACATCCAGCAATGTCAGTCTTAATCGATATTATAGATAGAAGAAACAGTAATAGAGAAAAAAAATATCATTCTATCAATTTGGTAGCACAGTACACTATGAAAGCCTATCAATATAAGAAACAATCTAATAAAAAAATGAATGCCTGATGTATCACTCATATCCTCAAAGTTCAGTGATTCTTGTATGCATCATTTCGACAGCAAGCTTTAAATAATTAACTTTGCATCCAATAATTAGAAAGTCATTGGTTGAAGAAATAGTAAACCAAGGGTGAAATGAATAAAAAGCATGGATTCATAAAAATAGCAAGTTATCAAAAATTTTATAGTTATATACACAAAAAATATATAAAATTGCTTCACTTCTCTAAAGGGACTAGTTCTAAAAACTATTTATGGGTGGACAAAGCTACGTGAGCCTTTAAAGCTATTCATTAAGTGTGACCGTTGGAGTAGACACTCTACAAGGAATTACAACAGCATGGCAACAACCGCCTGCCTAAGACAGCATTTCATGTAATCAACTCAAAACAATCCCTTCTAAACCCCTAAGCAGAGCACAACACAGCAGAAGAAAACAGAGAAGAAATTTTATCACAAATTAGCTGCTGCTCCAAAAAGATAACACTATAACATACAAAATTCTCAAAATTGAAAATGATTTAAAAATAAAAAATAGAGCTAAAATTGAGTACATAGATTTGGAATGACAAATAAATTAGCAATCATATAGCTATAATTTTCTGTCTAAATTGCAAGCTTATTAAATTCTAATGTTAAAAGAAAATAGAATTCATAGCTTCATATTTCCATTTGACACTCATTAATGCAATGTCCATAAGGGTCTGTTTTAAGAGAGAACTCTATCATGTTATTAGTTACAAGAGCTTTAAAAACTGTCAACAATTTGGAATTTCTTAATTTGCTACTCATCCCAAACATGAAGCCTGAAACACATGCCCATTCCTAAGGTACATGCAGATCGCAATGACAGGAGTGGCCAAAGTAAAAGTAAATACTTCCGCAGCTTCATAGTTATCATATGCGATTAAGTTCAAGGTAGTGAAGTGTATAGTAGAAGAGAAACTTCGTTGTTCACAGATCATTCAAACAGTTAAAAATTCAATGCCATAGGTTGTTCACACACACCACAAGGCTAGGCGAGAAGGAAGAAATAGAACAAGGGAAGAGAGTGTGAGATCGGGATAAAAATGTGACAAACATTTTATGTTTATGCTCGAGTATTTAAAGCTACATTTGCTTTATAATTTAATTTAAATGACAACCAGATTATCTAATATAAAATATTTAGCTGATTTAAATTTTCTCAATTGAAGAATCCTACCGGTGCAAGTTGCTGCATGATCGGATTACCACCAGGCGCTTTAGGATCGCTGCAAAAGAAAGGAAGCACACAAAGTAAGCAAATACCCAAAAAAAATGATAAAATGTCCAGAATGCTGTAAATGCGATAAATAAGAAAATCTGCCTTACTTCATGTAATTTTGAAAATAGAGATCCTCCCGCACTTTTGATGTCAACTCCATTACAAGTTCTGGGTGTTTCAGTCTAAGATGCTTATGAACAAACTCTGCAGCATGAAATAGCTTCGTGCAGCCCTTGGCTCCACAACCGTACTTCCAACCATATTTTTCATCTCTTATTTTCCTGACATATGGGTCTAGAGCTTCTACAGCCGCTGCATCAATTTTTTCTTTACCTGTCATTATTTCCAAAGGGTCCCGACCCATCAACCTTTCCTTCCAAAATGAATCAAGTTTTTGCTCCCAGTCAGCTCCTGAACCTGGAACGTTAGATCCATCAAAAGTTTTGCTGTCAGCTCTTACATGTCTAAGACCTTTTCCTTCGTTTGTCTCAGACATGCCATAGTAGTCTATGCCATGGACACGCCACAAATAAGTTATAAGTGTATCCAAAAGCTCAGCACCTTCAAGACCTTTGACGGTTGTCAAACCCCTAATAATTATAATAGGCCCCATAGATCCACCATGAGAATTCTCACCATCTAGTTTATCATGATCAGTGCTGGATAGAATATTATCTCCTATTCCCTTTTCAGTATCAACTTTACGAACCAAGGCCTGAGCTTGTATAATGTCAAGCTGGATTCTTCTAGGTTCACAGCTGACTGTATGAGCTTTGGGAGCAGTAGATAAATCATTTTCTTTTGCTGGACCTCTGCCATGCCTTCTCCTTTTACCATTAACATCTGCTTCATCCTCAGAGTTTGGATCACTTGCATTTCCAGATTTATTAGAACTTGTCAAACCTGGACCACTGCAGATAAAAACATTGAGGCTTGTAATAAGACACCTCTGGAAAAGGTAACAACAGAAATACTGAAGTAACTCACAGATCTAGTGTTCCACTCTGCAAATCAAGTAAAATTTCTTTTGCAGCAGCCCTTGCATTCTCATTTCTCCTGCAAGGTCGTAGTTGGAAAAAGAAACAAAGCTAGTCAAGTAAAGAAACGAAAAGTAGAGATGAGTGAATCAAATGATGAGGCTCTCCAGAAAAACCAGATCCAGATCAACAACGTCAAGATTATAAGAGATGAAATGACATGGAATCACGGCACAAAAAAATCCACAATTGGCAGTTCCTTTGTCCAAATATCTATTGTTGATAACTAACCTTTCAATAACAGCAACTAAATTAGTGGGATGATACTTGTCTTTTAACCTACAAACAAGACGAAGTAAAACTTTTAAGGCAGTGCTAATATTACCATCAACAAAGAAAAAACAGGAACAAACATCCATTATCATTGTTATGTAGTTGCATCATAAAAGAGAGATCAGATGTACCATTCTTCATCCTTATGAGTTTCAAAATAAGCACGCTTCTGAGTTGAAATGTATTCCGTTCTGTATTCTTCATACCTATATAACAGGCAGATGTGTAAACTTAAACTATAACAATATAAATAAAGCAGCATTAACAGAGTAGTCAAAAAGCACTAGAAGCAATATGATCATGTTATTAAGTAGAAATAGCAATATCTACAAAGCATGATCACCTGCATAATACTATATGCATGCAGAAGCAAAATTAGTTAGTACCTCCTTTCAGCTTCAGCTGGTAATATGTCATCCTCAAGTTCTTGAATAAATTGCTTGTATGTCATCAAACCCTCCCTAGAGCACAAAATAGAGAGACTATATATCAAATGTTCTCTAAAATGGAATCCAATAAGCAGAACGTAAAAAACAATACATAGAGAAATATTACATCAAAACCAAATAAAAATTCATCAGTGCATAGATCAACCTTACATAGTTTGACTAGTATCTTTTAAGGGTTTTGTAAGCAGAGTCAGCAAGAGTTAAGAAACACATGTATCCATCACATACGATAAAAAAAGTTGAAATGTTTAACTGTCCAGTGTCCACTTGATAGTAAGAATTTATAATAGCATCTTTATTTTGAACATCCTATTATATTATTTCAGAACAATCTATATGTATAAATAAGGAAATTTACCTAAGGTCCTATTGCTGACCATTATTTATTTTTTAAAGCTTTTAAGTTTTTTATCGTATTATTTCTTAGCCCTAGTAAATCTTAATCTTCAAAATTTGTCAAATAACTATTTCTCATAAAAATAGGTCTTTGATTTTCTCCTCAAAAGTGTTCTAAGAGCCATAGCTACCATCTGCCCAATTCCAATTGCCCTCCATCCACTGCCTACCTCTCTCAATTTGATTATGCCTAAAAGTATCTAGTTATTACTTCCTTATATATGAATTTAATAAAAACCATATGTAATTTTAAATGACCAAATGGTGTCAAACAGCAATCAGATGAAGAAAATTCAGCAGGATCTGATAATAAATTGCTTAAGTTTTGCAGTAGCCATTCACTACCAAAAAATAACCAGAATGAATGCAAAAATGATAGAAGAAATGATAAAATTTATAAAAAAGTCATAATCAAAACATAAATGCATACAAACTCTAGGAACTTAAGCAATTCTTCATAAAATAACTTAACTTTCCATTTCACCTTCTTGCTTATTCATAATTTTTAAGCAACGGCTTTTAGCATTCATGTATGTACCTACAAAGCACAGACTAACAAGAGACATGGACACGAATGCAATGCAACAAGGATAGAGTGACATGATATAACCATAAAAAGAAAAACAAGACACATCATAGAAAAACCTATAACATAAAATTTATTATTTAAAACTTTTTACTAAATTATTAATATAAAATTATTAATAACATAAACTTTTTACTAAATTATTAATATAAAATTTATTATTTAAAAAATCAAAACTATTTTGAGAAAAACCTTAAATATGAAGATTTGTGCACATTAAAGTAAAAAAAAAAGCTCAAAAGAGAAGGAAAAACCAAGAAAAATCATAGAATTCAAATTAGGTATAACAGAGGAAAGTTAAAGCCAAGCCTGAACAAAAAAGAGAGAGAATTGTGCAGTTAAAAAAATCTATCCAAAGATGAGAAGTGTAGAATGCATGAGAAATTTGATAAATAATGTAACAATCATAGCGGAGAAGGCTCAGTGAATGAGGAACAATGCATGAAGGCTTGATGAGATGGAAGATCACATGCAACTGTAGTGGCACCCTGGTAGGTAAATCGGGGTTTGAGTGAACAAGCGGGAGCAAGGAAACTTACGGGCGTCAATACAGGATTTTAACTAATACAGGATTTTAACTAATGAATCATTGATAGTATCTGAAATACATAGAAAAATACTTACTGTATCCCTTATGTTTCTTGTATCTCTCAATTCATGATCAACTCTGATTTTGGCAAGAAATAATATCTGACATAATTTTACACACATTAAACATATCAAATGCAAACACGAATGGTATCTTGACGTATTTGTGCTTCATAGATTTATATGAATGATTTTTGGAAAATTCCATCTATTCTCAAAAGAAATAATTATTATTTTGGCATAAACATCTATGCTAAAATTGAATCTTTGAATATTTTATTACTAAATGGCAACGAGCCCTTTCTTTTTATACACGTAAGATTTGGGTATAATCCCGTCCTGCAAAGTACTCTAGAAAGAAGTATTTGTATGTAGCTTTTATTTTAACACAGCAACTAATCAATTGCATTGCTATTGTCTTTCAATGTTATGATTAAGGCATAACATTTATTCAATTTTATTGTATATTTATTCAAGATTTAGAATTCAAATGACAGGCATTATTTATGGTATTACATTATATTAGCAGAAAGGGTGTGATGCAGGTAAATAAAAATGGTGTAAACAGAATTGTTCTAAGTTATACTTTCTCTTTTTTGCATAATTTTCTTTATTCACCTACCTTTGTAGAGGAACTTGAGGAACCGCCGATTTGATTAGGAGGGAATTAGAAAGTTTTCTAATCAAGAGGAAATTATCTAGGAATGTTCTTAATCAAAGGAGAATTATTTATGAAATTTTTAATTATAATTAGGAGGGAATTATTTAGGGCAAGAGTTCTAATTTGAATTCAAAATCTAACAGGGCATTATTTAGGGAAAGAAAGGAGGAATCAAGGGGGAATTGTTTAGGAAAGTTTTAATTATAATTAGAAGGGATTATTTAGGGCAAAAGATCTAATTTGAAGTCAAATAAGAGAGGATTATTTAGGGAAAGAGAGCTGATTTAGGAGGGAATTAAGAGAGACTATTTAAGGCTAACAATAGGGTGATTTCAGGAGTATGTTTTGAGTTTGCTAAAATTAGAATTTTTTAGGTTGTGAGGGCTCTAGTCGTCGGCTAGGAATTTGGAAGAGCTAGATCTTCCAAATCCAATTGAATATCCAACTGTATCTTGTTGTTTTCTTTCATATATATTGCAACAATAAGAGTTTTGATGTGTTCCTCTTCTTAATATCTTATTTTCATTCACTTATTTTGAGGAAATTGTATCCATTCCTATCAGAACTCAATTCATCTTCACAATAGTTCAATAGATATTGCACATGCATCAGCACTCACCTAGGAATTGCAAGAATTTGTGCCAAAATAAGGCATCTTATACTTAAAACTTTGCCCATTTAATGTACCCTTTGAGTAGCAGTTAACTATTCTTTCAGATGAGGACATTTTTATGTCACTTTCTTTAGAGACCTTGAAAAGTCTATCGTATGCATGGAAACTAATTTTGTATATGTATTTCATGATGAACTACATAAGTGATATATATTAACATAATTATATATATTCTTGATATTCATATCATATATTAATATATGTAATGTTGGAAACTTCAAAGTATTGTCAAAATTGTTTGTGTCAAAGATGTTTCAGCATGTCATGCTTTAAACTTATTTATATGCCAAACATGGGGAGTTATGAAAACGATTAGAACGAATCAAGAGGAAACACATGAATGCTTTTGATAACTATGTGTTAATAAAGGCAAAGCACAAAAAAAAGGAAAAAAACTAGGATAAAGACCAACAGCTGACAAGGTGGTGATGAGAACATCGTTATATCATCATTAGCCTTATCCCAACTATTTGGTGTTTGCTCAATGAATCCCTTAACATTCAATATAGTTGAGTGTTGCACAAGGTGATGATATTGTAAGAAAAAAGATTGACCCTTGAGAAAAGAAGATTGTTAAACCAGATGTTTGACAGGCATTTTTCCAAAGCCATTAGTAGAAAAATGACTGGAAAATGCCAAATGTAAAACGCAAAAACCTCTGAACCATAAAAACTAAGATAAAATGGAAGATCTGGGAATCAAAAAGCCAATCAACAATGTTGAAAATACTTAACAAAGTACAATGACTGCTTGATAGAACTCAAAGAGAACAGCAAAAATTAACATAATACAAATATAGGAGGAGCTTAACAATTTATATGTTACGAAACTGCAAATACAAACCTTTGAGTTTGAGAGCCATCAAAACCACCCCTCCCTGCATCAGGCCAATCTACAGAATCACACAAAAAAATGAGATATGATATAGAAAAAATATTATAAGATAATGATTCAAATATTTCAAGAGTAATAAATATACCCTGTTCTGCAAATCTTTATCTCAGAACATAAGGGCATATTAGACCAAGAACTTAGATAATAGAATTAGAAGAGCTGTAAGTAGCACGATACAAAAAGTCAAACAAATAGCTAACCAATTCGATAACAGCTAGTTGTCATTAGCCAAATAGGAAATCCATTGCTTTCCTTTATTCCACATACAATATAGCAAGATACTTAAAGGGAACTTACTAGTTATAAGCTCATGATGAAATAAGATTAAATCAAACACACAGAAAAAAAAAAGAATTTATACTAAAATTTTGAATTTGTAAGCATCAATTCTAATGTGTTGCAAAATTTTAAATAGTAATGCCTTCATTGCATTCAATTTCTTAAAGGTTCCATATGCAAGTCTTTTTGGATTTAGTCGCACTATCATCTTATCACGGGCTTAAATTCCACATACTTATCTTCACGTCAAACAAAAAGCTTACAATTGTCATAATTATTAGTTTATTTGCTACAAATATTCTCAAGCAAAGTAGACAAATCATGCAAATGATTAATATAACATAAGTCAAGTAATGAAATTACTACGAAGTAAAATTAATTGTATTGAATAGTGGAATACTAATAATGACTTATAACTAATTCCTAGAAAATGAAATGCTAATGAAATTGCAAGGAGAAAAATCATAAACTTATGATATGGATCTATAACCGAACAACCTCTTAAAAAAAATTAATCCAAATGGGTTTAGAATTTACTTGAAATGAATTATGCATCTTTAGGATTGACCAAATAGATGAAAATTTAAATTTTAGGTTTTTTTAATGATGTCGTTACTAATAAAATCCCTAAAATATTGCTACAATTAGCTCCCATTATGAGGTTTGTTCTAAGAATTAGTATGACATTAAACCAATAACAAAAAATAAAATCGACATCAATCAGGTCACCTAATATAGGAAAAATATCTATAAACAATTCATTCAAAGTTACTATTTAAGATTGCTCATTTAATTTATCAACTCCATCAAATAGGATTAGTTATCTTTACATTAACACATGTCCAATTTCCATAAGAAATTTAGGTTCGTAAATGATATAATACTCAATTTTACTCTTAAAATCCAATTCTCATTTATTACTAATTGTAACTTCATTCTCATAATTATATTCTATTGTAGATGCAGATTCATGTTCAAAATCAAAAGATATAAATTCACATTATAGCAACAAATAGTAATGATTCTTGCGTTTATATAGTTCCAATAGGTGTCAGATGAAATGTAACTGAATTTTCCTTAGGAATCCGCACAGGTTCAACCAACCCAATAGAATGCTAGTAACAAACCATAAAACACATATACTTAACTGAAACCTCAGTGCTCTTAGTGAATTATAGCTTAGTTCACAATATAATCTTTTTGTTCACAACTCTGAAATCAAGTATGGAATTTACCTTGATATTCACCAAACAATGAATATTTGTTACATTTTATGTCAGTCAATATTAATTGTATTTTACTTGAAATACTATGTCAGAAAAATTGAGCCCGTCCCATTATTTTATTTCAGCAATTTATCTTTTTCATAATCAAATAAATGATAGTGTCCAACAAAGTTTTACAAACTATTGATCACCCTAAAAATTTTTTAAGATCATATCTAACATCAAATGTTGGAATGTAACTTTGAGCCTCATGATAATCACATTGTAGTGTCTAGAACCATAACCTTCCCAATTCTGTTTAAATTGCAATAACTAATTAAAAAAATTATAAGCAAAATTAAATGGACCACTTTTAGCTGACATGATTACACAACTATAACTCTGATACCAATTAGATGCGGGTTAATGCAGGGTGGGTTAGGTTTTCTAATGCAACTAATGTGATGTGCTAAGCTTTCATACAAAAGAAAATTCAGAATTTAAATATCACAGATAAGAAATTAATTCAATAATTTTCTGTTTTTAAATAGAAACATCAATACTAAAATTTAAGACATTAAACTGCATGCAAAAGCAGTGTTACAAGAATAGGGGTTAAGGTAGCTTAAATCTCTCTTCATCACCTCTAATGGCATGTCCCACTACTTGTATAACACCCTATCTTCCTCCCCTCCATCACATTTATGCAATCTACCCTAATTTCTCTTCCCTCCCCCCTATTACCACCATGGAAAAACATTGAAACTGTTTTCCATAAGATAGCTTAATTCATGACAGGTAGTATTTAACAGTTTAAGTCACGTGTAATTAATTTATCTTTGACTTAGAATTTAAATGAAAAAAAAAAAAACATACATAATTACTTTGAAGACCAAAGCGTAAATTTTTAAGACATTTGTACCAACTTTTGAAGATTTTATGATGCGGACATCCGACGGTAGGTGCGAATCAAAGGAAGAGACGAAGACCGATGGCCGAGATCCCTCAATTTTATCTTAGTTTATTAATTGTATTTTTTTATTTAATTGTGCATTTTTTGTTTTTACCCTTACTTAAGGGTATTATCTTATGTAAGCCCAAGGGGCAAAGTTGTCTTTTAGTTTCTTTTAAGGCCTATATATATAAGTCTTTGCTCTTGTATTAGATAATGATAGATTATTAAAAAAAATTGCTGCACTCTTGTTCTTTGGGAAGAACTTTGGTGAGATACCTATGTGAGGGAAGCGTAATACCCACCAGCCGCAGGATGCGTCCAGGCTCGAGATTGAAGTCTCTACGTGAGGGTATCGCATCACCCGTCAGCCGTAGGATGTGTCCAGGCTCACGGTTTATCTTCTTTCCCTATCTCCTTCTCTCTCTCTTTCTCCACCGGCCATCTTCTTCCATTATCCCTCTCTCTAAATCCCCCACCCTCCTTTAACCGCCAGTTTTCTACCACCCTTCCACCCCACCACCACCTCCTAGCCGGCAACCCCTTCCCCACAACCCTCCCCTTCCCCACCGAAATCCAGACCTCCTCCCTCTTCTCTTGGCTCCACCCATTCAAATCTTGCATTCAAAACCTTTCAATTTGAGCCCTTCTTATTTTGGGAACAATTTAATTTCATATTCAAATAAATTTGAATTTTGAATTTGTATCCTAAAATGAGAATCCCTATTTCAAGAAAGTTATTAAATTCATGCCCATTTGAATTTTAAATAGGGGTGGAATTAAATAAATCCTTCCTAATTTAAAATTATAATTCAAGTAAGCATTAATTTCCCTCTCTTAAACCTCTCCCCTCCTTGAAGCCGACGGCCCCTCCTCATCCACAAGTTTGAATTTCAAATTCAAATAGCCTCTTGATTACTTTCCTAAATTAGTCAATTGTTAATTTGGAAAGCTTCTTAAATTGAATTCAAATATATTTGAATTTCAATATCCTTTCCGGATTAATAAATCCATTTTAGGATGCCCCTCCAAATCTGAAATTAATTTCAGATTTAATTCTCAATCCCAATTATTGCTTGATTCACATTCATTGAACCTAGACACCTCATCCTTCCCTCTCACTTGGCCGGCCCCTCTCTCCCCTCTATCCTAATGATTTCCTTCCTAATTAAAGGCCCCAATTAAGGAGATAATTAATTCCTCTCTTCTCTCCCTTCTTTCACATTAATTAAGGGAAATCTGAGATTGAATTTTAGATCTTTAATTTTTATCACACTCTCCATTCTACATCATTTTATGTCCATATAATTTGGATTTTGGCATAGAACAATAAACAAAAAAATGAAGATATTTATAATTGTTTTAAGAACAAAGCTATAAAATGTGAAGACTCACAAAAACATTATGCATTATGGAGTGTAACATAATTTTTTTTTCACAAACATGTGATTAATGGGACAATTCATGATTTTAAAGTTGTACTAATGTGAACTAGGTAAGAACATCCTGACACTAGTTTTTTTCCTACCACCATGACATCTCCCTGTACTTCCCATGAATTATCACCTCTCCGTCATCTGCACTACTCTCACAACATTTTGTAGAGTTAAAACAAAATAACTGCAGTTACAAGAGCCATCAAGAAGTTGAGGAAGAGGGAAACAGAAGAAACTTGGCACACAACCTCAGAGAAGATGCTGCGTGCAGCTTCAATTTGTCATTTAAAACATAATTCATTATTAAAATAATCCTTGGACCGCTATTGATAATAAAAGAAAAAGCTAAAATAAGACTAAATAACGAATTTTATACAAAATTGACATGTCAAAATAATGTTGATGGTAACTAAAAAAATAAAATAAATAATTAGCAGGAACTAATAAATTAAATACGATGATAATTTCAATCAAGTGCTATAGCATGAAATATTATCAAAGCTTCTCCTACATAAATTTACCCAAGGTGCAAAGAACTCTACTCCAGACTCCAGAGAGTTTGAGGCTTCATTTGGGGCGGCTTTCTTGCTGCTTCTTAAAACAGCTTTCTAGTACAAAAATTTTAATTTTTGTACTAAAAAGTTATTTTAAGAATCATTAAGAAAGCCATCCCAAACAAGGCCTGAATACTATTTGAAGAATCAAAAGGTCTTTTACTATAATGTCAAACTAATGAAATTCATCTCATCCTCAAGGTAATTTTATTCTTGATATGATATAAATATATATAGAAGATCCATATACTTCTTTACTTTGTAAGCTTTTCATGAGCTTTATTATGAATTTATATTCAAATCTAGGGTCAGGGTCAATTGTTTAGATTGAAGATGAAAAAAATAAAAAAAAGAAAGAGATAACGAGTTTAAAAAGAAGAGAAGTGGGGGGTGGGGAGGGGGGAGAGGGGGTGGGGGGGGGGGGGGGGGGGGGGGGGGGGGAGTGTGTGAAGAGTAGGGGTCGTAAGGTAGAGAAAGATGGGGTTAGAAAGAATATGTTCATAACCTATCTTATAATATAAGAAGGAGCTCGATTATCTTATTGTTTTTTATATGATTGAGAAGGCTAAGGA